ATAAAATCAAATAAATGCTTATTGGTGTAGCCCTGACCCAAAATAAGTGTTTATCGGAATAAATACATATTTTTAGGCACTCCCCCTTCCATTTATCAAGAATAGACGTGCCCAAATCAATAACATCATTAAATATTAATTATTAATTAACTTTAAATAAGAAAAAAAAAAAGGCGCAGCACAATGAGTAGGAGAGGCGATGCCCCCGGCAGTTATTCCTCGAAGATGCGAGAGAATGTAATGTTTTAATGTCAAGATGCTACTTCTGACATTTGTAGAATAAAGAGAAATATTGGGAGACATGGCAAGGCCCACCCACGGTCCCCAGAGCTTATATTAAATGACACATATATCCCCTCTACCTAAATATTATAATCTAAGGGTACCCTCAGAGTTTCGTAGGTACATACAATATTGTAAAAGAAGTTGAAATTTTACACGGATTCCAAGAAAGCCTTTCTATGGGGTTCAGTGAAATGCTGGCTACAAGCAGCCTGGGAAGGCTTTAATTTGCAGTAGTCAAACTTGAACGGATAAATTCAGCTGGGGAGCCTGGAGATGATAAAGATACTTCAGACCATCAAGAGTATGGTTGCCAATGCATTGAACTGCACGGCTTTTCTCTCCAGTCCAACTGCAAAGGACTTAAAGAGTTATAGCGCTCTCTCTCTCTCTCTCTCTCTCTTCATCATCTATGTCTAGTTAACTTACAAGCATAGGTAAAATCATCAATCGGTTAAACCACCAACCCATATGCGTCCACATGGAAAGAAGTCAAGAACAAACAAATAGAAGAGCAGAGAGAGAGAGAGAGAGGGTATATCATTGCTTAAATCCATTTTTTATTAATTAATTCTTGTTTATTTTTGTTAACATTCTATTGATTAGTACAACCTTTTTCCTAGCATATGGTAACATAATGCTTAAGTGAAGACATTATATATGCTCATCTGACACCCAAGTGGCCACAGAATTCTGAGGAAGAAACTAGCTAGCTAGAAGCCAAGAATATAGGGAAGCTCAAATAAGACATAAAATGCAAACTACACTCATGGAGCTTAATTATCTAGCACCAACAAGGGAAAATGTACAGTTTACCTTGACATAGAAAATGGAGCTCTAACCCCTCAACATATAAGGTCCTCATTGAAAATTAAAATAAGAAAAAATGGATCTTTCCTCTCTTCTGCTTTAGGGTCATGTATTTAGCTAAAAATATGAGTTGTCAAATCTTCTCACATCTGAAACATTTTGTTTTTGGCATTATCTTGTACCAAGGTTTTTAAAATCGAATCAGGCAGTGAATCGGTCAGGGTCCGGTTTTCATGTTGAACGGTCTAATTATTCGAACCGAACAGATGGTCTATTTTGACAAAAAATAAAAAACGGCCAAACCCATTGAGCTATTTGAACAGTTTGAACATTAAACTACCCAGGTCAATGGTTTTTAGCAAAATAATGGTTCTAGAATAAAACGGATCGATTCCCAGTTTTTCCAGTCTGACCGTCTAGTCCGGTCCGATTTTGAAAACCATGTCTTGTACTCTTATAGTCTTGCGCCAAATGAATTGTATATTTGTTGGAATATGCAGTATCTTGTGATTGATGATGTTAGGAGATTAAATACATGTAGGTTGATATCTTTGCTATGAGATGATAGGGAACTAGGGGAGAGGCCAAACAGATGGATTTAATATTTGGGTAGACAAAAGATGCTAGCTAAATGATATTCTCTTTAATTACTAAAGAGGATTGAAATCGATTGTACTATTAGCTTAATTGTTCCAAAGGCTTGCTGAAAATGGTGGAGGAAAGTGCATTAATGAAACTCATAACATTTTGAATCCTTTAATTATGATCACATTAGTTTTATATGGAGATTGGAAATGAAAAACAAAATTATTAGAGCAGAATGTTGTAGATCAAACTGTCAAATTTAATATAAAATCTGGATTTTAAGGGCGTTTTCTCATTCATACCAGCATGGTATTCCATTATACGAATATTGCAGAGAATGGTTAATTAAAAGTCACAAATGGCCATGGCTTAACAGAGTTTCATTGGAAATATCTCATTTTGCGTAGAGAATTTTCAATGGGAACGGTCCCATTTGACTAAATGTTGCTGCCAGCAAACAAATTCCACTAGTATCCAAATGTTCATCTTGAAAGGGAACAAATATATATGGAAGACTTCAGCTATTTTCTGTGTGGGAGATTGGCTTCAGTGCTCACATCATTTATACAGCCTTAATATCTCCATATTTATATGCTTTTTTTCATTAGGAGATATTTCAAATACAAAGCTGTAAAAAGCTGTGCAAACGGTGTGAGTACTGCCTTGCGAGCACTGAAGCTGATTTCAGCTAGTTAGATAAAGGCCTGAGGCTTCTTCTCTAGACATTTGAACATTTGTTACATACCCCAACAATCAATTGCTCACGAATGTAAAGCTTCAGAATTCAGATATATTGTCTGCATTATATACTATGTTTGTAACCTAGGAAATATGGAAGGAAGGACTTCTGTATTTTTTGTTAGCTTGATAATTCAGTGATTGGATCTAAGTTGGGGCTCCTGTTTCCAAAAAACTTATTGGGACCCACCTAGGGTAGGGGAGTGGCTATGCTAAAACCTTGCATAGAGACTTACCTCTATAAAGAATAAAAAAAAAAAAAAGAATGGTAGAGAAAAGGAACTACCCTAGGGTTGAATTGTGGCATCATCTCAATTTTCATTTCCATCATAGTTTTGTCAAAGTTGCCTCTTTTTTTTCTCTTTTTTCTGCAATTTGTTAAAGCTTCTATTGAAATTAAAAATTAGAATCTAATTCTGACTCACTGAAGTTTGGGCAAGTTAGAAACCATATGGAATCTTGCTTTCATAATTCCAATAACTGATATTTTTACCATGAAGGGTGCCTAACCTACAGACTAAAAAAGTTCAATTCAATCAAAAAACTACTTGGTAAAGATTGGTGAAATTGTTTCATGTGCGCAACATGTATCATGTATATTTTACTAACAAGACAGACTAAGGGTATATTTGATAACAGATGAAGTGCTTGAATTGAAAAGCTTATTGCTTTGTCTTTTAATAAATAAATTTTTAAGTAGACTGTGAGTTCCTTAATGACTGAAGCTGAAGTTGGATAGATTATAAATATACCCTTGAATATATTTCATTATTTTATCCACTAAAAAAAAGCAATAACTTGTTCAGCAACTTCAAGCCATTATCGAAAAGCCCCTAATCTAAAATACATGCATATTTGAACAAAAGAGGTGGGCAGTCCACATTACTAGTGATTATCTGGTAGCTGTCAAAACTTTAAAGCATGCCTCCTTTAATGCCCTACAACATGGGCAATTCACGTGTGTGCATGTATGCATGTATGCATGTATGTATGTATAATTATTGAAGGACTTATTTATATTCAAAGAGAAAAATACAATAAATATAAAAAAAAACCTCCAACTTGATTGTTACTTAAGACAAAAAAAAAAAACAAAACAAAACAAAACTTTGATGGTTGAAAACACGAGTAAGAGCCATTATTGTTGATGACAGGAAAGGTTAAGGGTGGGAAGAAATGAGATTTCCGAGTGGTTAATGGATAAGGAAAAGGGAAATGGTTTCTCTATCCTTAACTCTTTTATATTCTTCAAAATGGGGTTGCCAAATTATCTTCCTCCAAAACAGTGATCTACCTACGTACCTAAATATATTTGCAAATATATTCTATAGTCAATTAAAACTAAATCATCTAGTAAATAATAATTATATATATTACCAAAATTCCTTGAGAAATTATTAATTAGCAAATCATCATCATGTAAGCCTTACCCCAACTATATATATGGGGTCAGCTACAATTATTAGTATTAGAGAATATTAATTATAATCCATGAAACCAATTTGGTTCTTCAAAACATATATTAAGTTAATAAGAAATATTTATTTACGAAATATTGGTGACTGGGCCTACATTATATAATACACATACCCACATTTTCTTCAAAACATATATCCAGTTCCTGTTTAATGGTTATGGATGCAGGATGATGCTTTTAATCTCTTATTAGAGACCAAGTATCAAATAATCTCAACAGTCTGATCAGGTGCTTATTTCTAATATTGTGTGATAAAGGAGTAATTAGCACTGCTCAAAAGGGCATCATAAAGGAAATAAAAGAGAAAGAATTAACGAAGATGAGTGACAATGGGTATTAAAGCATTGTAGGATATATACCCATATTACATAAAACTATAAAGCTAGGAAAGTAGGAAAAAAAGTAGAGTAATGTTGTAATTTCATATACTCTTTTGGGGTCATAGGTTGTGCTCACAGTTATTACAGATTTTATTAGTTATTTGTTAAATTTAGAAGGTATATAAAGTAGCCTAGCCTAGCCTAGCCTAGCCTAGCCAACATTCAAGTAATAGTTTAGAAAGATTAATAGGAGCTAAATGAGGTAAGATTGGATTGAAAGCTGAAATGCAAGTACTTTGGAACTGCTAAATAATGGGCATTCAAAATCAAAAATCAAGCATGCATATATACATATACCTAGGGCCACTTCTGTTGAAAAGTGCAGGATTCACTCGGGGCGATTCCTGGATAAACCCACCGTGGTTTTCCTGCCACTGTCATGTGGCTGTATCTCATGTAAATTTATTATTTCTCAGACATGGAAAAGGACAGAAGCCAGACCTGCACTCTCAGCCCATTCATCAGGTCGGCTTAGTCGACAAAGAAGAGATCCTAAGTTCCTGATAATGTTTTGTTTTTCTCATTTTCATCTTTGCTTCTTTTCTTTAATGAATCTGATCGATCGGCCTTTTATTGTGTTTGTCATCTTCGATGCTTCAGTCTGCAACTTGATCAACTCTTCACTGGAATTATTTGTTTTTCTTCCAAGAGGATAAATGTAATTCAGACACAATGACACAGAGAGAGACCATTTCGCCCCCCTCGTCCGCAGTGGGAGTAGGGCGGTTCTGGCGGGGGGGGAGTGGTCGCACTCATTTCTTCATAATAGCCTTCATCTGGTCTCTTGTATGGGATTAATACAGCCAAAACCTTCCCTCCTCCTGAAACCCTAAACCTAGTGAAAAGCTGTCACGGAAAACCGCTTTTCTTCCCCCCCAAAACCACTTTTCTTCCCGCCCGTAAAACCGGTTAAAGCTTTCTAATAATCCTATTCCCGGTCCCACACTTCTGCCTGCTCTGTAAACTGGTGGGCACTATAGGAACGGACCATTTGTACCCTAAAACCCCACTTTTTATTTTTATTTTTAATTCGTTAATATATTATGGTTTTCATTCCCTCCAGGCATCCACACAGCTCAGACTCAGATCATCGGTGTTCCCGCTTTGGATCCCCTCTCTCTCTCTCTCTTCTCTTTAAACTCTCACCCACTTTTTTCTTCAATCGCTCTCCCTTTCTCTGTCTATTTATATACCAATTTAACAATTGAAACCGATCACTCAGGCTTCAAAACCAGAGGGGGAGCTGACGGAAAAGCTCTTTCTCATACTCTGGCTTGCTGCAGGAAGCTTCATCATCAACACCATCTTCATCTTCCTTTTTGGTCCATCTCTTTCAATATTTTCTCCATCTTTGTCTTTGGGAGCCAAAAATTCTGTTGAAGAGGATATGTCGACCTGCATCGATGTTCCGTCTGAGCAAGTCTGCTACATCCCTTGCAACTTTTGCAACATCATTCTAGCGGTATCAACTTTAAGTATTCTTTTTCTTTTTCTGTTAACAGCATGAAAAGACCTAATTTGAATCCCGAAGAAAAGGCTCAAGTCATTTCTTCTGAGATCTGGGTTTTCATCATTTTCACTTATTTTATTAATTCTTTCATGGGTTCTTAACAGTCAGGTCTCAATCGTCAGGACTTTATTTTTTTTCTTCTTCTTTTGCTGTCAAACGCGAAAGTCATACCTGTTGTGCTAAAGACGAGACGAAACAAGAGAGAGTGAGAGAGAGAGAGAGAGCGTGAATGACTACGTTATGATACTTGATATCAAAATAGGGTTCCCTTTAACTATGAAAAAACAACAATTTGATGATAAGTGACGATGACAACTCCTGCGTTCATCGATTTCTTCATCCTGTGTTCTTTAGCTTTAGCTTTAGCTGAAGAGAATAAGACCACGGAAACAACAGACAAAGAGAAGATGACTCAATTGGATTTCTTTTCCACGATCTTCATTTTATTTTTTTAGCTTATGTCTTTATTATTTTTACAATAAAATACAGTTACAATTCATCGAAGTAGGAAGAGAGATAATTCTTTGTAATTCTCATGTTAGAATGAAAGCTAAGAACTGGGGTTTCTTATAAAACAGTAGATTTCTAGTAATTCAAGTGTGTTCTTTTTCTTATCTTCTTTTAATTTGATAACTTGGAAAACCAGGATCAATGTTTTCCACCTTCCGGAGTGCTTTTCAGCTGAAAAGATTGGAAGGTTTAAAAGCATTTTTTATGATCTGGGTTTGTCTTTGTTTAAATTCTGGGTTTGCTTTCGCTTTTGCAGGTCAGCGTTCCATGCAGCAGCTTGTTCGATATCGTGACCGTCCGATGCGGTCACTGCACTAACCTATGGTCCGTGAACATGGCAGCAGCGCTTCAGTCGCTGTCGTGGCAAGATCTCCAGGTGAAATATACTCGCTCTCTTCTCGGCTTGTTTTAAGGGCGGTGATCAGTATCTATCATCTATGACTTTAGCTTCTGAAAACTAGGGTTTCTGGGATTTGTTCTTTTGATGAAAGGGAACCTATTGCATCTGTGGATCGAGTCTTTCGAAGCTATTCTTGTGCTTCTGCGCGAGACTGTAACCCTAGCAGCCGCCATTACTATACCTATTTTTGCTTTTTGTAGAGTGAATTTTCGGCCGCAGTTGGATTTTAGTCAGGTTCTGATGACTTGACCGGCCCAGGAAAAAGCAATTTTCAGGGTTTGGTTTTCTTTCGACCCACTTTTATTTAACCCTTGATTTGATTTAATCCATAAGGTTCTCAGAGATCATGCGGCTTCCCATATATCAGCTTTGTCTTCTACGGCGGAAACACTTCTGGAAAAAGAAACCGCATTTTTTAAGAAATCTTCAAATCTCTTAAATCCAACTGTCGATCAGGGTTTTCTCCCCTGGATAAGACATCATTCTAATTTCTAACTGATTGAGTCACCTCACCTCAACCTGTTCTAGTGTTCTTAGTTTGTCTTTTCATGCTCTCTTCTCGTAAGATCATGAAAGGTTTCCCGCTGCTTGCACCTCTCTCTCTCTCTCTCTCTCTCTCTCTCTCTCTCGTATTTATTTCATTTTCAGCCTACTGCTCAGATGAGCTGTTAGACTTTGGGATTGTTGGTTCGGAGGCCGCACGGCGTTAGACTTGGGATTGGAGAAGGCTTAGCGACAGGACTACCCAAGAGAAAATGTGTACTCGAACGTAGACTACTCGACCATAATTATCATAAGCCATCTCTCTCTCTCTTGGTCGCTGTGTTTTTCACTGTCACTATACAAAACCGTGACCTTATTGTCTCGTGGTTCATTTGCAGGCACCAAACTTTACTTCTCCAGAGTACAGGATCGAGTTGGGCTCCTCTTCATCAAAATGCAACAAGATTGCAATGCGACCACCACCTGCCATTAACGAGGAAAGGATCGTAAATCGCCGTAAGTTGTCTTTTATCTGATGTCCGTTTGACAGTGTGCACTGTTGCAAAGAGCACTTGGATATGCTTTGCACAAGAGCTCATTACTGTGGGTTATGAGTGAGAAGCGATGAAGGATGAAGTCATGAGAAGCAATACTACAGAGTAACTGCGTCATCAGGATTATTAAATCATACAAAGGCCCCATTACTAACCCAAGACCATCCACTGTTTTCAACCCTAATTATCCACCTCTGTACTGTAAAAACCAGGCAGATCTAACAGTTGACAGCTCTTGCCCAAGTGCTCTTTTGATATTATTAGCAGTTCTAATTTGGGATACTCTTAACTAAGCTCCCTTTTATTATTATTTTATCTCCCTATGCAGCACCAGAGAAGAGGCAGCGAGTACCTTCTGCATACAACCAGTTCATAAAGTAATGAATGAAACTATTTTCACTCTCTTCAAACTTTCCTAACCACTTTTAGTTATAGTAACTGAATTGTTGTTTATGGAATATGGTTCACAGAGAAGAGATCCAGAGGATCAAGGCCAATAATCCAGAAATCAGCCATAGAGAAGCTTTCAGCACAGCAGCCAAAAATGTGAGTATTCAACATAATATATGGTTATTAGGGATTCAATGTGAATAATGCAAAGAGTCCAATTTGAGCTACAACCTTATTAGATATTACATTATTCACTGTGTATTCCTAACCCAAACCAAGAAGCTCCTTTTCTTTACAACTTAAATTGAAATATTGAACATTCTGGGTGGACTCACAACTCATAATCTCGTTTTTTTTTTCCAGTGGGCACATTTCCCTCATATTCATTTCGGGTTGATGTTGGAGAACAGCAACCAAGCTAAGCTTGACGAGGTAATAAGAACTTAGTTTTCTTTCTTTTCCCTTCAGTATCTCTTTCTTTTATTTTCCCGAGGGGAGATGTGGCTAACTTTTAATAGGAAAGAAGAATCCTCTCTCTGAATTCTCTTTGAGCCTTGTTATGTCCTTCAGTTCTTTTAAGCATATTATTGCTTCGGTTTCCTACTTGGTTTGGACGTTTTAGAAAAAAAAAAAAAAGGAAAGACTTCTTTATGTATTTTTACAATATTTCCTATTATGATTATAATTTTTCTCTTTGTTCCTCGTTAGATGTAAGATATGTTTCTTGGGTCTTTTATATGAGCATTACAAAATGAGTACTAGTGAAAGGAAAGTAATACAGTCATCAAGATTGGCCTGATTATATAAACTTCACCCAAATTTTCTGAAACGCTTTTATCATTTTGCATCTAAATAAATAATGCAAAGTTAGATGAGCTCTATTATTTGTCTTTTTAGCTAGCAATATTAGCAACTTATTGGTTTTATTCATTAATATCCATCCCTAGTTATTACCTAGAAGACTATAAGCCTAGTTGATCTCCTACTGCATGGGATATTAAATCTCTCCACTGAATGCGGTGTAAAGCTGTCCAACTTTGTGGTTGCAGGGATCAGATAGGCATCTAATGACAAAGGAGGCGATGTTCAACAAATAAGAGAGATTCTTGTTATTGCATCTATGTCATTTAAGTATCTTATGTGTTTGTATAAGGGGATGAAACATAATTTCCTTTTGATGCATTTGTTGTAAGTTGATCATGAGATGCTACTTATGTTGAAAGCAAACTAGCTCATCTTAAATTTCCGTCCCTCATGAACCTTCCAAATGAAGGAGATGACTAAAATAAACTGCATTTGTGCTTGCTTAAGTTCTTGTTCATTGATTAGGTTGTCTTGATTTTTTCAATATAGAAAATACTAATGTCAATTTACTTAAGTAGTAATTTCTTTAGGCCCGTTTGCTTTTCAATAAGTTACTTGTCAGGAAAAGTGCATTTACTCATGTTCTTTTATTTCCCACATAAATAAGAAAAAAATCATTTTTGACATAAAAAACTATTATTAAAATGGCCAATTTTATACTCTTCAAGTGTTGGCAACTTTCTCCCAAGTGGGAAAGTTACTTATCCACCTAGGAAGTGATACCCGGGGAAAATAAATTTTCCATGTATCCCACATAAATCTTAAAAAAAAAAGAAAAAAACATGGGTACAATCTTGGTCAATGAATACCATATCCCGTTGACCAATTTTCCCCCCTCTCAACAATCAAGCCCTTATAATTACTTTGTAAATGTCAAGCATGGCAGAAAAGGTGTTTTTTTTTTTTTTTGGGAGAAAGACGGATCAGCCCAGAGTCAGAATATATAAGCACAGGTTACCGTTGAGGCATAGAGTGTGGGTTATTGCCATTTTGAATGTTTATAGCTCTGCAGTGAAAATAAAAAATCTGCATTGAGCTTGTCCGTACTTCTCCCTTTATTATTATTATTTTTTTTTTGCATGTCATGAGTGGTGAAGTGTATATTTCCTTGCGACTCCTACCTCCTGTGAACAAATGCTTTAAAACCAACGTTGTGTTGCCTATCAGCGTTGGATAGCTGTTCCTTTAATATTAAGCATGAGGCCCGAAGTTCCCAAAAGCACAAACAGTTGTCCAACGCTGATAACTAACACAACATTGGCTTACAGAATTTGTTTATAGCAGATCCCAGCTCCTTCCATGTATTCATTCCAAAGAATTGAGCGCTAAAGCATTTTACCCAATAGTTTACCTAGAAAATATAGTCAAGTTGCATTATTTTTCCTTTTGTCTATATAACTGTTAACAATGTTATTGTGCGTGCAATTATGTTCGTATTTTCTTTATACTTTTCAACAAAAATTTGTGTTCTTAAATTTGTTTATCATGAAGGTCAAAGAATAGAAAGATCGTACAAAGATGTGAAATCATCGATAGTCTTGACAACTATCATGTTGATGTGTGATAGGACTAGGGCTGTTCACATAATGTTAAAAACGATCAAACTGACCAAACCAGACCAACTCAACCCAAGATGGTCAGGAACTTGGTTGGCTTCCGCTCGGTTCATTTCTGGTTATGTATTTCTAACCTGATTGAACCAATGTATAAATTAAAAGCCCTGGCCTCTCTTTATGCTTTTTCCAATTGTTAGTTGAGTCAGGTTGCCAGCCGCTAGCCATTCGGTTTAATTCAAACCTAATAAACCAACCAACAATTATGTGAAACCAAGAGTTTCGATTTGCATAAAAATGAACCCAACAGTTTCGGCCTGATTGATAGAATTATGTAAAAATGAACCGAACCAACCCATGAATAGCCCTATATAAAACAACACTACACTGTTCTTTTTTTAACAAAGGATGGATCCATTATGTCAACAAGGCGCGCTATGAATAAAATCAGGTTCAACCGACCAAGTAACGATGCTTTGTATAGAAGTAGCGAACCTTAACTGCAACTGCAATGCAATGTACCACCTTGTTAATACGACCATTTATATGATGTAAAGGAACACATAGCAAATGAAGGAACTAAACTCCTGCAATCCGCAATTAAAGAGACAATACACATAGATAGCAAACCTTTGGTTGCCATTTCTCAAGTGATATTCATTATTCAAGGTTTGAAGTTAAGAAAGAAATAAAAGGGTTTATGTTGGATAAGGGTAGATTAGATCGGCCGCAAATCCTTTCTTAATTTTGATTTAGAAAATTATATTGTTAAAGAAATTTCGAGAAGAAAGGAAAAGCCTTCAGATAGAATTTATTGATCTATAGAAATCATAGGGGATTTGATTGAATCATCTATTAAATCGGCTTGACTCCTTCAAGAATAACTAAGAAAGTTAAGCTGAGTACCACATCTACTTCCTTTACTCTTTCAAATCGGCAATCAGCATAGTTATTAATTAAAGTTATCATACAGTTTCTGGCTGGCTGTAGTGGAGACTTGGGATCGGGGATGGACTACTCCCGTTGTGTAGCCCCATGAAATGGGGCTATTATAGAAGAGGTAACTTTTGGAGAGAAATGGGGCAAAAAGATTTGGGTCTACTATAGTTTTTTTTTTTTTTTTAATTTTTGGAGTTGGAAGAGCAGAGTGCTCCTTGACATCCAAAGACCCACTTTATTTCGTTTGTGACCCAGCTGCCTTGTCTTACTAATCTTTGTGAACCTGGGACAGAGTTTTCTCCCTTCTATTTTGCTTTGTATTATTTTTAGATGGCAATTGGGTTGGGTGGGTCGGGTTCAGATTGGGTCAAGGTACTTCGAGTTGAATTTTGGGTTGGGTTGCCAAATATTAGACCCTAACCCTAAATGTTCGGTTTAGAGTTGACCTATGGGTCAATTCGGGTCATCCCAAAAAATATTTGAAATTTAAAAAAATAAAGAAATTTTACATGAAAAATGTCAAAATTAAAATAATTAACCTTAAATTTTTAAATATAAAATAAAAAAACTTGAACACTTAACAATTTAAAGAGTAAACAATAAAAATTAAAGACTAAATAAAAAAAAAATTAAGGAGTCAAAACTTCTAACAATGCATAAATAATTCCAATTAGACTTGACAATCGGATCAGCGGATTAACCCATGACCCAACCCAATCCAGTTTTTTCGGGTCGGGTCATTCCCATTTGGGTAGCAAATATGAGACCCTAACCCTGTTTTTTTGGGTTGGGTTGGATTGGAATTGGGTCAACTTTTTGCCAAGTATAATTATTTTATTATTTGGCGCAATTCATATGTACCTTGGTTTTCTTTGGGATTCTACATTTCCTCTCTAGATACTTCAATATTTAGTAAAATGCAAGGCTGTGACTTGCCTCAACTTCATTTTCTTTTATTTGAGATGTAGATATTTTACTTCTCACAGCCAAAACTTGAAGGTCCGATCCCCTGAACTTAATTAGTATATACTAACCAATGGAAATTCATCGAAATTCACGGCGGTCGTAAAATGTCAACTTAAGAGTTTGACCAATCAAAACCATCTCATGAATTTTGATGAATTTCCATTAGTACACTTAATTAGTACATGGACCCGTGTTAAGTGCAGGAGAGGAGATCTGAACTGGTCTATGACCGAGTAATGCATGCATGATACATGACACAATTATCCTCTAAACTTTAAGTAATTAGTTCCGGCAACAAGTCTGGATGTGCTGCATTTTTACTATACTTATTCTACATTTTCATTGCGACCTGGTGAAGGTGACCAGGGTTCAAATCTTGGAAACCTGTATGTGCAGGGGTAAGGCTATGTATATCTTTCCCTCCCTATACCCTACATTGGCGGGACCCTCGTGCACTGGCTTTTTTTTTTTCTTTTTTGGTTATTCTACACTTTCATTCAATCAAATATCCATGCATAATGACAAAATTTCATTATCTATTTGATCTATATATTGTTCATTTTAATTCTCATTGCTCATGAAATAATTAACTGAAGTGCATATGTTACCATTTTTCTAAAATATCCTTTAAGAGGTAAATTTTTCCATGATAGTATCAAAGATATGTTTTGCGTCTCCAATTACCTGAAGCCAGCCATATCTAAGTTTAACTAAAGACTATTTTCTTTTCTCTTACATTCTATTCATAAAAGTATCTTCTGTACATATTGCCACTTTTAATGCAAGGTTCCTTATTGATATAAACTAGCTAGATGGAGTTATAAAATATATCAATAAAAGCCTTTGTCACCTTCTGAATAATTCAGATTGATGTATTGCATGCTTACAGAAAAGAAAGGGTGTCCACATAAATATGTTGGTGCACTTCACTAGGGAAAGGGTGTCAGTTAGTTAAAAGATAGAATTTTGAAGATGAAGATGGTGCTACCTTAATTTAGATAAGGAATAAATGATAAAACATAAAGAGGTTAAAAGGAATATGAAGCTTCCGGCACTGAAACAGAATTAAATATTGTTTTTTTAAAGAAATTAATGTAAGAATATGTTTATATATAAAAAGTATTAATCATATATGATACATGATATTTGGATTTAACTTTTGTAATCTGCATGGAATTCAAAGAAAATGTTTACTTTATATGGCAATTGGATTTAATTTTTATGACTAACACCAAAACAAAGGCAAGTATCCTTTATAGATATTTTGATTTTCCAAAGAACATGATATAATTTCATTTACATTGTACTTTTATTCTTTTATCTCAAAACAAAAAGGCTAAGAGTGAAAAGACTTAAAAGGGAATATAATAATGAATTTTTTCTACAATTTTAATTTAAAATTGTTGGGAAACTTTGACCAGGGCAATATCCCATCCATGTTAAGTGCCAAGTCAAGTTAATTAAAAAGAGAAAGAGAACATTCACTGGATAACACAACTTTGTTTGAGTAAAATGAGGTTATAGCTTAAAAAGGTTGACTTCTACTACATTTTTCCTTTTCCAAATTGAAAAGATCTTCATTCACATTAAATGAAAGGACCACTTATTTAGAGCTGGTTTTTCATACACACAAAAAACCGAAACTATGGTTCATTTCTCTTAGAACTGAGTTCTCAAGTTATGATCTCCTCTCCTGTAAATAGGTTGAGTGATCAGGACTGAGTTCTCAAGTTTCCTTGGCAGAAGGACTGAAACAATTTAATTGTTAAATATTAATTACCATAAAATAGAAGTTACTCTTCAAATCCTATGCAGATATAAGCTTACAAGTATTGCAATCATCTTTCTGGCACAACATATTATGGCATAATTTTCATTAATGGTTCCATTGAAACAAAAAAAAAAAACCATTAATGGTGATCAAGTATTAAAATATCCATATGTTTGATAACCTCAAGTGGATGTAATATGATTTTTTTTTTTGACTTTTTTCAACTTT